CTATATCACATTTAGAGATTGTGTCGTTGATTGTTGAGGTGTTTGAATGTGGAGAACTGAGTTTGGCAGCAAAACTACCAAGACAGATTTTTGGTGGTTTTTGACAATTTTGTGATTTTGGTGAATTTTGAAGTAAGATGTGAAAGAGTGAGAGCTTTGTGTTTCTATGGTTTTTAGAATCAATGTTGTCTGTATCAAATGAAGTGATGAGGACTCCCTTTTATAGGCAAATGAAGAGAGGGGGCAAATTTGGAGGTTTCTTCACATGAAAGAAAGGTTTTACACCTTTGGATCAAACCTCCACAAAGGGGTTTCCTTGGCGGATAGGTAAGCCCAATAGGCAAGAAAAATGATGATTTTGAATGGGCTAAATGCAGGCTAGAAGGTTTAGGCTTATGGGTAGTTCAGATTCACTTTTCCACCTCATACTTGCCTTATGATTTCAAATGCAAGTTGTAAAGCCACTTGCAAGCCCACTTGCAAGTTTGGCTAATTCCATCTCCTCTGCATTTTCTTCACATTTATATGCTTAAAACCCTCTACATATCATAAACAACAACATCCAAAAGCTTGAGTTTGGTCAGATTGATGAAAGAATGGATTCTTAAAATTTTGACAATGTGGGACTAAAGTGTGAAATCACCAACTTGCCATAACCATAACTTTCAGCTCACAAATCCTTTTGAGATGTGCTAGCACTTTTTTGAAAGCCCTCAAATGGATCTAAAACATTCATGTTTTCATGAATTTTAATTTCCCTTCTAGAAATGAATTTGATCATAACTCCAAATCTATGCATTTTCTGATCATGGACCATTTAGGGACTTTTTTAGGATTTGTCAAGATATTTCAAATGAGCTTTGAACCAACTCAATTGGATGTGTGGTTAAGGAGTTATGGATTAGCCCCTTTCAAAACCCTAATTTCCCGATTTTTCGATTACTCCTTCATCCTTGATCCAATGGTCATGAAAATTGATAGGCAAGTGCAATATGATATAAGGAACATTTTTATTCACACTTTGAAGTCCAATTCCTTAAATTTGAAGAGTTGACTATTTGGTCAACCGTACGATCGATCGGTGACTACCGAGTCGTCTGTTGACACTCTGGACCTTCTGAGACTTTGAAACTTCTTGGATGAACTTTATTAAGCTATAGGAACTTCATGGATCATAATCCCACCATTAAAACACCTTCCAACATCAAAGTCAAACTACAGTTGACTTTTACTTGTCAAAAACCCTAATTGAGTGCCATGAGATACACTGCTCTTGATTCTGGGGTAACAACCTCAAATTGGGTATTCAATTGACATCCTATAACATCCTTGACCTTGTTTCATAATTGAATTGGCCTAAAACTTTGATTGATCACAAACCCTGAAGTTTTGATATTGACTGTACACAACCCTGATTCATTTGTAACTTGACAAAGACAAACTTGCACTGGGTTAGGGTTAGATAATCCTTGAGTATGCTCCTAAAATGATAATGAGAATCTAAGGGGTCAAAATTTGGGTATGACACCTTCGATTAATCGACGAAAGTTTGTGATTAAGATGATACCGTTCCATTTTTTTTTCGTGTGAGATGATTCTTTGAGAACGATCTACATATGATTTCTCCATCGTATTTTAGCACATACATCGTTGTTGACCGACCTTCTATAACATGATATTCCCAATAGACCGTGCTGCGAGTGCTTAGCTCTAAAGTGGACCCGATTCATCCGATTAACCACTGACTTTAATTTTTGTCCAATATCACTGTTCATACATATTATTCATATTGTCATTGTTCATATCATCTTGTCGTTATTCAAAAAATATCGTAAAACTATCGAAACCCTAAAAAAAACCTTTTAATTGGTGGACTGTGGTTACTATCTCGAACTTTGGACTTTGGACTTAGATCAAGGACGCTTGCCCCATGCTCTTGGAGTTGAGAGTTGGACACCTTGGATCCTTTATGTTGCTTTGTCTGCATTAGGAAATTCTCTATGTGTAGTGTTGATACTTTGATATTGAAGTCATCTAATACATGAAGCTCCCATTTGGTTCTTGATCCTTATGAAGACTTGACTAGGATATTATGTCTTCATTTGATGTTTGGCTATTTCTTGGCTTGCTGGAGGCTCACCAGTCCAATAAAAGGGAATGCTTGTCATGCACCATCTTTTTGGTAAGATCCTCCCATCTCTTACTATTTGCTTGATTCCCGTTCTTGATTTTGCTTGATGTCTGATTTCATGATACTTGTTACTTGTGATGCTTTGACATGAGTTTATATATCTTTACTTGAGTATTGTTTGGTACTTGATGTTGTTTGTGATTAAATTGTGTAATGTTTACTTGTGCTTTGTTCACATGCTCCTTTGAGGCTCCTAGTCCAACTTAATTTCTGATTAAGCTTCGAGTAGGATAGACATTATGATCTCAATCCTTTGTATGACAACATTTAGAATTCAGTCTCCCATAGATTTTCCTTTCTTTTTGTATCCAAAATCTCTTCTTAATCATCGCAAAGGAAAGGATCCCCACTGTTGACTTCATGTCATATTTAGGATAGCCTTGCCAACCATTCCCTTGAAACCTTGTTAGAGTCTTAGCTTTCCCATCCTAGCCTTAGGATTAGAGTTTCCTAAATCTATGTGAGTGTCATTGCTATCGATACTTACTTTCCCTTTCATCCTAGCCTTAGGATTAGAGTTGTCTAATTCTCTGTAAGTGTCACTACTATGGACACTTACCTTCCCCTTTTATCCTAGCCTTAGGATTAGAGTTTCCAAACTCTTTGTAAGTGTCATTGCTATGGACTCTTGCCTTCCCTTTTATCATATCCTTAAGATTAGAGTTTGCTTAACTCTTTCTAAGTATCATTGCTATGGATACTTACCTCATCTTTTATCATAGCCTTAGGATTAGAGTTGCCTAACTCTATGTGAGTCTCATTACTATGGACAGTTACCTTCCCTTTTATCATAGCCTTAGGATTAGAGTTTCCTAACTCTATGTGAGTGTCATTGCTATGGACACATCCTTCCCTTTTATCATAGCCTTAGCATTAGAGTTGTCTAACTCTATGTGAGTGTCATTTCTATGAACACTTCCCTACCCTTTTATCCTAGGCTTAGGATTAGAGTTGCCTAACTTTATGTGAGTGTCATTGCTATGGACACTTTATTCTCTTTTATCTTAGCCTTAGGATTAGAGTTTCCTAACTCTATGTGAGTTTCATTGCTATGGACACTTACCTTCTCTTTTATCCTAGCCTTATAATTAAAGTTGCCTAACTCTTTGTGAGTGTCATTGCTATGGTCACTTTCTTCCCTTTTATCATAGCCTTAGGATTAGAGTTGCCTAACTCTATGTGAGTGTCATTGCTATGAATAATTTCTTCCCTTTTATCCTAACCTTAGGATTAGAGTTGCCTAACTCTATATGAGTGTCATTGCTATAGACACTTCCTTTCCTTTTATCCTAGCCTTTGGTATAGAGTTGCCTATGAGTGTTATTGCTACAAACACTTCCTTCCTTTTGATCATATCCTTAAGATCAGAGTTACCTAATTCTATGTGAGTGTCATTGTTATGGACATTTACCTTTCCTTTTATCCTAGCCTTAGGATTAGAGTTGCCTAACTCTTAGTAAGTGTCATTACAATGAACACTTACCTTCCTCTTTATCACAGCCTTACAATTAGAGTTGTCTAACTCTTTGTAAGTGTCATTGCTATGGAAACTTACCTTACCCTTTTATGCTAGCCTTAGGATTAGTGGTTCTTAACTCTATATTAGTGTCATTGCTATGAGCACTTACTCCCCTTTTCCCTTTTATCCTAGCCTTAGGATTAGAGTTGTCTAACTCTATGTAAATGTTATTTCTATGGACACTTACCTCCCCCATTGGAACCATGATCACTATCAAGAGTTCATCACCTGTAGTTAGGTGAATTACAAATGCTCTAATTCCATCCTTGTTAGGATACGTAGGCACGAGATGCGATGACTTGGCGAGCATACTTAGTAAATACCTTAGATCTTTTCCTTAGCACATTTTTGTTAGCAAGATAACACAAATACAAATAAAAGGTTCCTATAGAGTACTGCAGATACTTAGGATGCTAACATCTTCCATAGGTATGACCAACCCCCGAATCTTAAATCTCTTAGCTTGTTGTTACATTGCGCATTTAGGTTTTTTTTTCGATCTTTTACCTTTTCTTTGGATAAATCAAAGTTTGGTGGTGAAATTTAAAGATTTGTAATTCAAGTTAATGCAATGACTTGATATCTGATTCTCACCGCAATACAAGTCTTTAACGTCCAATGTCAATAACGTTAGAGGTTTCATCATACTATTATTCTCCTCCTACAATAAGTTAATTGCTTATGTATTGCCTCTTGATCCGTGTTACTAAACTAACTCTCACACTACTTGTTACTATTTTTCAACTATCTACCAGAGCCTTTTACACTTTCCAACTACATTTTAAACTATCATTATTTCCACAAATTCTAACCGAATCGAATAGAAAGACCACACCTAAACATTCTCTTTATCCTACTTAAGCACCCATTCCATAGAACTAACTAATCTTCCAAAAGATCCTCTTCTCAAATAAGCACGAGCCGCCTCCACTTAAACTCTCAAAATTCCTCTCGTCCAATGCCCCATCCTACCCACCTAAGTCTTCTCCTGAAAATAAGATACAACTTCTAAAAATAACTTATCTAGAACAATGCGACAACTTTTAAAATAAAGTTAAATCTATACTAATTACTCAACATATTTGATCCATTACAAATATATTGGAAGTAAATATAATTGTTCTACTAAATAATAGAAAGTCCAACATTCACCATTATTTCATTTTATATTTACTATTTAATAATTACTAAGTTTTATTGATTAGAAAACATTAAAGATTAAAAAAAAACTATATATAGAACCACATAGAAATATACCAAGAAAAAGAAAATTTGAAACCAGCCAACAAGCTAGTTTTGCTCTACTGATTTGGAATCTACCACACTCTGAAAATAATCAACAAGTTTAGTAAGACAATTTTGTGACGATCCACCTTCTTGAACAGCTCTCCATGCTTTCTCTTTCATTTCTCTAGCTCTCTTTCTTATCTCTCCACCGTCACCATCACTATCCATCAAAGTCTTCACACCCTTCTCTATCCTCTCTCTACTCACCACCGTCTTCTTAGCATCATAAGGTGACATACTCCACTCCGCCGCACCAACCTCCACACCAATACAATGAACCTCCGTCACCAATTTCTCATTGTAGTATTGATCTCCGAACCCCGGCATCGTGATCATCGGTACCCCGGAACTTATCGCTTCCACCGTCGCATTCCAACCACAATGTGTTAAGAATCCACCTATTGATGGATGATCCAATATCAACGCCTGGGGAACCCAACCCTTGATCAATAGTCCTCTATTTTCATCCTTAGTTCTCTCTTCAAAACCTTTAGGTAACCAATTATCATCATCTTCTCCTTCTTTTCCATGAACCACCCAAAGAAAACTATGCTTCGAAGCTTCAATTCCAAAAGCTATCTCCATAAGTTGTTCGTTCGATAATCGACATAAACTCCCGAAGCTAATGTATACAACCGAACCTACCTCCTTCGTGTCGAGCCACGCGAGACTCTCATGTTTATCATTAGCATTACCATTACCATTATTAACTGGTTTCTTCTCTTTGGTGTTTTCCACCATGAGAGACGTTGGTCCGACATGCCAAACCCTACGTCCGGTGAGATTCTCGTAGTATTCGGTGTAACCTTCGTCGAGTTCCGCGAAACTATTAACTATAACTCCATGCGAGCCTTTTTCTGCTTCGACCAATGACTCAGTGACCCTAGCAAAACCGGGAGATGGTTTTATAGGAAGTGTAAGTGGATGAGGAAGGCCGGGGATATGATAAGGTCCTGAATCAGAAACAAAAGCTTCTGGATGAGATTTTATAGCTTCGATGAGACAAACATCAAAGATCGAAATTGGGTTAAAAACAAGTCTCGGAATTCGAAGATCTTTCGACGTTGATTCGCTCCATGTGAACATGATATCAGGAATGAACACATCAGGAGGATTTTGTTTCATGAAGCTTTCGATGTCCTGTTTAAGGACATGGGCAGCCATGGCGATTTTACCGGCGGTTTGATTATCCGAAGCGGCGAAGAGATTTTCGACGCCGGGTGGGAGGCCGAGTTGGGTGGACGGGAATTGGATGATGTGGGTGTGGATATGGTGGCCCGCGGCTTGGTCTTGTTGGATTGTTTTATCAAAGAGTTGAGCGTTGGAGGGAGTAGTTATGATGGTAACTTGTTGGTTTTTTGAAGCTACTAAACGAGCTAGGTTAACGAGAGGGATTAAGTGTCCTTGTGCGAAGAATGGGAGCATGTAGATTTTCAGTGGCTTGGATTCTGAATCCATTTTCAGCTTATGTGATTCTTTGATCTTGGATTCTTCTTTTTATTGGTGTTGGTTGGTAGTGTATGTGTTCTTAATGTGTGTCTTATATAAGTAGTGTATAAAATGAGTGACTTACACTGATGTAAATCACAAACAGTCTACAAAAAGAGACAAAGAAGGATTAGAATATGTTGTAATGGAGTATCGCGAGCTACTCGTTCTATCATTGCTTATTGTTTAAAAATCGAAGCTCGTGGACTGCGTGGGAATTTTTTAATTGAAAAATGATGTTAATTATTACAAAAAAGTTTAATTGACTTATCTATAAATTAAAATACATTAAAATTATTTTAAATTTGAACTATTTATTAATTTTTTAAAAATAATTATATATGATAAAATAAAATTGATTGAGATTGAAGACACGTGGATTGAATACCTCTGATGTTGTGGATTAAATAGAGACACTCACTACCCCAAAAATAATTTTTGGCAGCACAGTAAAGACAACGCTTTCTATAAAAGCGCTGCTAAAGATTTTAAAAAAAAAAAGCGTTGGCTTTAGAAACGCTTTCTTAAAAGCGCCGCTAAAGGTTGTTATTTTGCAATACGATAGAAAGCTCTGCTAAATGGGGGGAGGGGAGGGGGATAAGAAAGCGCTTTCTAAAAGTGTTGTTATCGGGGGTTAAGAAAGCGCTTTTAAGGAGAAAGCGCTGCTATAAAAGGAGTTCACGAAAGCGCTTTCAAAAGTACTGCTATAGGTTTTTAGCTTTTTAAAAATAAAACAAACTTTTCATTTCAGACACAGTAGGATAAAAGTTAGGATAACACCCAACAAATAACGGACTACCAACCAAAAATTAGGATAACATCTGACAAACAACGGATTACCAACCAAAAGTTAGGATAACATCCAACAAACAACAGACTACCAACCAAAAGTCGGGATAACATCCAACAAACAACGGACTACCAACCAAAAGTTGGGATAACATCCAACAAACAACGGACTACTAACCAAAAGTTTGGATAACATCCAACAAACAATGGACTACCAACCAAAAGTTGGGATAACATCCAACAAACAACGCCAAAAGTTGGGATAACATCCAACAAACAACGGACTATCAACCAAAAGTTGGAATAACCTCCATTAAACAACGGACTACCAACCAAAAGTTGGTATAACATCCTACATACCACGTACTACCAACCAAAAGTTTGGATAACATCCAATAAACAACAGACTATCAACCAAAAGTTGGGATAAATCCAACAAACAAACGAACTACCAACCAAATGTTGGGATAACACCCAACAAACAACGGACTACCAACCAAAAGTTGGGATAACATCTAACAAACAACGAACTACCAACCAAAAGTTAGGATAACATCCAACAAACAACATACTACCAACCAAAAGTTGGGATAGCATCCAACAAACAAATGGACTACCAACCAAAAGTTAGGATAACACCCGGGATAGGCAGGAAGTAGAATCAACCGACTTACGACCTGAAAAGAATACTCCGCTGGGGGAAAGAGAAGTTTAAACAGACAAACTCTGCCGGGAAGTAACAGTAAAACGAACACATCCATCAATGATTCTTGTAAGGGGTAAAGATAATGAGATCTTAAGTTAAGCCATTATATGCTGCAGAGATGTCTGGCCACAAAGATATCAAACTTGGCTTATGCTTCGAATGCATGTGTTTGAACATGGCGTAATGCTCCATACGAAATGGAAATGCTACGCATTTGGGAGGATGTAATGCAAATGATATGCAAATGAACACCACCGGAAGAAGTGTTGGAAAGAAAATCAACAAACCAATCTCTGTGAGGGAAATGCCATGAATGGCCTTCTGTTGGGGATTTTAAATAACATCTTTTGGGAGATCGTCCCAAAAATCTGACTCTGAAGAATGCCAATAGTTATTGGACTTTGCTGGGGATATCAGCCACCGCTAATTTACATGTCGAGGATATCAACACCAATCTCTACTTGGGGAATGACTTTCAACCCTACCTTGATGGGGATAAGTGCATACCATTAATGAAGGGAATAATCCTAATCTAACAACAATACTCTGTGGGGAAACAAAAATCTCTGTTGTGGGAAGACACAAAATCTTTTACTAAATGAATGCCTGACTGCATATCAACACCCTGACTGATGTAGCCAACCATTGAAAACTCACTAGGGAGCACAAATCAAGCTGGCTGGGGAATACAAACCCTAAATTCATGTTGTGGGAGGAAAGATTCACCATATGTTACAAATATTGCTAGAACTTCATCTTCGGGGAGATAAGCTCTATTGGGAAAAAGGATCATGTCATCATGTAAACAATCAATAAACAAATAGGACGTCCTATATGCAAAATGGTTGTTTCAGTTACCATCCATGACACCATTCAAGTAAATTCATTGTTTTCAATATGATTTGTAAAGCCCTAATGCTTTCACATTTAAAGTTTATCAAAAATATTGGATGCCCTTTTTTGCAAACAGTAAAAATAAAAACAGGAAATGGAAAGCTCTTTGAGTGAATAATACTTTATTGATTGAAAAGACCTGTAAATAGGCAAGTTACAATTGGATGCAATTCCTGAAAAGAGGTAATTGTGCAAAGAATATAACAAGAAATATACAAATGTCGGTAATGTGGAAATAGATAACCACCATGTGTTGATTCGACTATGACTTGTATGTCTTCAACGTTTACCAATGCTCCGCCTTGTGAAAAGACTGACTGGACTGATTCTTATCCTTCAGGACCTCCATGCGTCAAGATAAGTTCACAGATCGAGCACAGACCGCAGTCATTTGCTTTTAAATCCCTAACTTTTTCCTGGATCGCCCTTGCAGGTTTTCAATCCACCGGGATACCCATTTTTGCCAAAGTCGCATTTTCAGGTTTTCAACTTTGCGGGTTCATTCTTTTTCTTTTATCCCTAATTTTTGCCCGAACCATTCCTTTTTATGGTTCGCTGGGATGCCCCATTTTTTCCCAGACTTTCTTTTTTCTGTCCAGCGGGTCTATTTTTAAGCAAAGTATTTTTTAACTACATCTGCATTCACAGGGAACATAAAATCTTCACCATCCATAGTAGATAGTAATAAGGCTCCACTAGAGAAAACCTTTCTTATCACATATGGACCTTCATAGTTTGGAGTCCATTTGCCCCTGTGATCTATTTGAGGATGAAGGATCCTTTTCAAAACCAAATCCCTTATCAGTAAGCACCGAGGGTGCACCTTCTAATCAAAAGCCTTCTTCATTCTTCTCTGGTACAACCGGCCATGGGTGATGGTTGTAACGCCCCGATTCTGATTTCCCATTTTTGTTGAGTCTTTTATTTTATTTGAGTGAGTATTATTTTATTTGTGTAAATTGGTGTGTTAATATGTTATGTTTGCATATTGTGTTATTTTATTGTTTTTGAGAGTTTTCGGGGAAATTAGGTTGGAGGGTATTTTAGATATTTCTTAATTAATGAATTAGTAGATATATTGTGAGAAAAGTAATAGAAAGAATTAGAATAGAATGATATAAGAGAGAAAGAGGAGAGGAAAGAGAAAGAAAGAGAAAGAAAGAAGAAAAAGGAGAGAAAGAAAGAGGAAGAAGAGAAAAGAGGAGAAAAGAGGAAAAAGCTTGGAAATCTTCAAAACAACTTCTAGGAATCGATTTAATCGGGTAAGGGTGTGAAATCTTATTATCTTATCAATGTTTATCATTATGTATGTGTTTGTTGGATTGTTTTGGGTGTTTTTCTACATTTTCCATTTTAGGTCGAAAGTGGTAAAATCGATAGAAACCGATGTTTTTACGGTTAGAATTCGAAATAAGTTGCGTAGTTTAGTCGAGGAATGTTAGGCCGAGACTATTAGAACTGGTTTGATTGAATTCGGGTGATTTCATGACTTTTGATGTTTTTGGATAATGAGGGTTTGAATAGCGAAGCGTTCGCTAGGCGAATCACTGGCGAGTGAGGTAGCGAAGTGTTCGTTAGGCGAGCACGTAGCGAGCTACCAGCGAACACTCCCAGACTCGGACAGAACCAAAAAGACCCAAACTCGCTCGAGCGAGTGGAGTAGCGAAGGACTCGCTAAGCGAACCTCTGCTCGCCTAGCGAGCATGACAGTACAACATTTTCTTTTTCTTTTTCCATCCAATATCGATTCTTGACTCGGATGTTGGTCAATCTTATTTCAAACGTGTAGCTTGTGTGCTGTTATATGATATGTTATGGGTAGTTGTATAGAGCGAATCCTAGATTGTGGAATTTATTGTGAATTGTGGCCTTTTGGCAAATATATGCATTGCTTAAATTGAATGTGAATGCATGATAATTGTGATAGAATTCATTACCGTTTGGCGTAATTGAATGTGAATGTATATGGATTGTATGTGATAGAATGAGATGAATGCATGAATATATATTGTGAATATGTATGCATTTCAAGAGTGTTTTGAGTCATTTTTGCATGTGAAGCATAATGATGTGCATTATTGTGTTGTGGGATTCTAATGATAATGCGTTGTATCATCGTGTGCCTATGTGAGGTGTGAGCGATGATTAGAAATGATTGTGTGCCTATGTGAGGTGTGAGCAATCAGATTGTGTGCCTATGTAAGGTGTGAGTAATCCATAAACATTGTGTGCCTATGTGGGGTTTGAGCAATGGGTGTAACATCGTGTGTCTATGTGAGGTGTGAGTGATGATTACAAATGATTGTGTGCCTATGTGAGGTGTGAGCAATCGGATTGTGCGCCTATGTGAGGTGTGAGCAATCCATAAACATTGTGAGCGTATGTGAGGTGTGAGCAATAGGTGAACATCGTGTGCCTATGTGAGGTGTGAGCGATGGTTCCAATAAGTTCCTGAGTGAACTTGAGATGATTGAGTCGGTACCACATTGCATTTGCATAGAGTCGTGAGTCGGTCTCTATGATTTGCATTTATCATCTTTATAATTGTGCATTGATGAATAAACATAAATGTGTATGTTTA